TAAGTGTAACAGTGTTGTGATTGGGTCGTGGTTCAGTTATTGTGTAAATACCAGCAGGTCCCATTAATTGTTATGTACAAGACTCGTTTATTTAAATATTTAATCGATATCCATAGTTAATGCCAAGAGGAGAAATTCTACTGGTGCTGTATTGAAAATAAAATTAACTACCAGTATTTTATTGTTTACTGTACATCCACAGTCCTGGTGTGGTTTCGAGATTTTTATTCATAGCTCATAAACTCTGCAGGCAACTTAATGTTAGCAGTTAACATCGCCGAGCAGAACGTTACTAAATTGATAGTCATTAAATGAAGAAGATTTTTTCATGAAAATGGCCAGATTTCAGGGTTTGCAGCTGCCATAATATCCTTGGAATTTGCATGTGTGGGTTCAAATGATAGCTGAATGATGTTCAGTTTGTTTGGGACCTGCTGAGTGACGTAAGGTATAAATTTCACAAATCTCCAAGTACTTCAAGGTATTTCCAGTAATTCAAAGTTTTTCATTTGTGGATTACACTGTCAAGTGGTATTAGTTGCTTGATTTGAGATCTGAGATTCAACCAAGCTGAAGCTGTAAATGGAATCAGACATTTGTTCCATTTCTGGCTTGTTTGGAGCATGTATAGAAGAGGAGGCAGAGAAAGGAAGTCACAAGTTTGGCTTCATCCGCCAGGCGTCTGTTCGCTTCTTCCGATCCATCAAACAAGCCCACAGGAATATTTCTGGAAGCTTGAGTTCTGTGCTCTCGCGGCAAAGCACTGAAACTGAAACTTCATGCTCATCGGAAAAATCCAACAATGCCAGTAAAAACAGGCGCCCCCATTCGGTTGCATTTGGTGAAGAATTCAAAGTGTTTAGCATCCCCACTAGCATAGGTAAACTTCTGTGTATAGATGTAGAGTTTTCTCTCAAACATAAATTTATTTTCTTGTTTAATTTTATTTAGTTTGTATCAGTAGTGTGGTATAGCTAAGTCCTATGACTAGTCGGATCAACTTTCCACTGTTACAGTACCCTTGGAACGTACTGGTAATTAAGAGCTTTTAAAGATGGACTTTGTGCTATACTTAGCAGTCTTAATTAATAAGCTTTCCTTGCAGAAACTTAAATCAACTTCCGAGTCAAAACATTGTATATTAACTGTACTTATTGGCAGTTTTTTCATCTAAAGTATTTGAATGAGATTTTAATTCTACATTTAGTACAATCCCCACATAACATCTTGTTTATACAGCTGTAATTTATGAAATTATGGTAAAATTATGGAAATTTTGAAATAAGACATTCAAACAGTTTGGAACAGATCTCTGCAGAGGAAAAATTGCGAGAAAATGTCGAACTTATGATTGTGTTGAGAACCTGGGCAACTTTTTAATGTAATGTTTTTGAGACATTTCATATTCTGGCAGTTTCCATATTTTGAATTAAAAAGGTGCAAAACTTTGATCAAAGAAAGAAAATTAAAGGCAAATATTCTTGCAATGTTAGAATCAATTAGAATCAATAATTATAATCAAAGGGAAATCTAGCTACAACATGGTTTGACTGACTGCAAGTACAGGATAGAATTCAATGCCTGACCGAAAATTACTCTGACTTACTAGCCCTGGCTATCAGGAATGCCTTTATTTGCATGCTGTTACTGCTTGACTGAATAATAAGCCAAGGGTATTGTGATTTTTTCTCAGTAATACACACATTGGTCTTGTTGGTACTATTGTAATTTGGTTTTCATATTCCAAAGAGAAGTTTGTCTCATGTTATGTCTGATAAAGTCCAGATGTCATTTATTAATGATTACCTTTGTCACTTATTCTACTATTGGGTGAAACATTTCTCTGTGCCTGTAAACTTCCATCATCTTTTTAATACATATTATTCAAAGTTCAGTCCATGTAAGTAATAATCATATGTCAGTCTGATAGACAAAATTGATCAAAAGTTAGACACTTGAATGCGTTTTATTAGATTTTTCCATCAATGCTTAATCTATGTAGTTGACAAAAATATTAGAATGACGAAAGAGGTAGCCAGACATCTTTTAAGTTCCACTCTTTCTGTGAGGATGATATTGTGCATTTTTGGTCAGTATACTTAAAAAATAACAGATGAAATGTC